AGATCCAATCTCCTTAGCATTGGTCTCTGAGTTGACTTAATTATGCCACAAGTAATAATATCAGCACAGATTTAAAAGAAAAAGAAAAACAAAACAAAACAAAAGAACATTGTCAAACTGTAACTTAAAGTGAGTTAGGTACTTTCAAGTAGCGGTACAATTGTGTTATTGGTTACTTTGTTTCCCCCACAAATATAGGTTATTTTTTACAATCTAGGAGAGAACTAGAAAACACACAAAAAATGTAAGTCTCAATTGTTTCAATCACAAAATCACAGGATTTAAAGAGTTGCCAAGGAAGGATCCTTGGAACTCATCTGATCCAACCTATACCTTCACAAAAATTGGTTGCTGTCCCTTGTCCTTGAAGAGGACCAAAATGACCCCATTATGTTAGAGTCAAGTTACAGTGTGTCCGACTGGCTCATCAGAGCTCAGAAAGCTCTACCACAGGTTGGCCACAAATAGTCCATGTGAACATTTGGGGTGGGTTCTCTGAATTTGCACATCTCTCATTTCTTTTAAGCTACATCAATTCTGCTTTGCTCATAGAGCACAGCACCTTCTTTGATGCAGGTACACCACGCTGGGAAGTCCTTTGCCAGTGTCTCCTATGTCATGCAATAAATTCCAAACTCCTTCAGAGAGACCTTGAGAATGTTTTTGCATTGCTTTTGACCACCATGCGAGCTCCTTCTTTGAGTGAGTTCTCTGTAAAACAGCCTTTTAGGCAAGCATATGTTTTGCATTCCAACAATGTGGCCAGTCCATGGAGTTATGCTCTCTGCAGCAGTGTTTGAATGCTTCGCAGTTTAGCTCAAGAAATAATCTCAGCGTCTGGTATTTTATCCTGCCAGGTGATCTTCAGAATTCTCCTAAGACAATTCAAACGGAAGTGATTCAGTTTCCTGGCATGGTGCTGGTACACTGTCCAGGTTTCACAGGCATACAACAATGAGGTCAGCACAGTGGCTCTGTAGACCTTCAGTTTGGTAGTCAGTCCAATCCTTCTTCTCTCCCACACTTTCCTTTGGAGCCTACCAAACACTGAGCTGGCTCTGGTAACACATGCATCAACCTCATTATCAATGTGTACACTTCTGGAAAATATACCACCAAGGTAAGTGAACTTATCCACAGCATATGGATAGTGTGGTGCTGGCTGGTGGAGTACCTACCTGTGTTTTCTTTGTGTTAAATGTTAGGGCAAAATTAGTACAAGCAGCAGAGAACTTGGTCCATTTCAACTTTAGAGGCTACATTGAATGCACAATATTAGCATTTATGTAGCACCTACTATGTGCCAGGCACTGTGCTAAATGCTTTACAAATATTATCTCATTTAATCCTCACAACAGTCCTAGCAGATAGGTACTATGATTATACCCATTTTACAGTTGAGAAAACTGAGGTCAGATTTGAACTCAAGAAGAAGAGTCTTTCTGACTTTGGGTCTAGCACTATCTATCTACTGCACCACCTAGCTGCCCCAGGTGCTTAATGAATGCTGGTTGATTGATCAATCAACTTCAACTTTATAAAACTGAGCTAAATTGGATATTGATATTGGGATGATGATGAGAGGAAGAAATTGAGGTAATTGTCTGGTAGACATTTTCCTACAGTTCTTATCTCCATTAGACCACCCTCTTCTTCCTCTATTTCATGAACTCCTGGCGTATGTATTTCTGTCTCCCACAGTAGTGCAAATTTAACTTCCAACATAGTGAGCACTCAGTAAAATTTATTGAATAGACAAATGCTTAATAGAGCACCCCACTTTTCTATGGCATGGTAAGTTTTGCAAAGCACTGTCCTCACAATGCTGTGAGATATGTAGTAAAAGTTTTCTCTTCCTAATTTGGGAGGTAAGAAACTGAGCTTCAGAGAGGTCAAGTCATTTGCCATTGGTGTCAGGGCTGGCTTGGAACCGAGGTTTCCCTGTCTCTAAGTCAAGGGTTCTTTTTTCTGTACCATATTATTTCTCTTGGATGGAGAAAACGAGTAGTGATAATTTGAATGTCACAGACATAGGGAATAGATTTAATATGATGAAAAATTGGTTTTTAACAAGATGGAAACAGCCCAATGGTTTGAAAATGGCATTGGAGCCTTCCCCTTCTGTCCCATGCCAAACATACACTAAGTTTCCAAAATAAAAAATATTTCACAACTGATCCAACCATTCTGGAGAGCAATTTGGAACTATTCCAGAAGGGCTATAAAACTGCACATAACCTTTTGATCTGGCAATATCATTACAAGGTCTATATCCCAAAGAGATCATAAAAAAGGAGAAAGGACCCACATGTACACAAATATTTATAGCAGCTCTTTCTGTGGTGGCAAAGAATTGGAAATTGAAGGAATGCCCATCAATTGGGGAATGGCTGAACAAGTTGTGGTTCACGAATGCAATGAAATACTATTGCGTTATAATAAATGATGAGCAGGCAGATTTCAGAAAAACCTGGACTTACATGAACTGATGCTGAGCGAAGTGAGCAGAACCACGAGAACATGATACATAGTACCAGCAACAGCAACATTGGGCAATGATCAACTTTGACAGACTTGACTCTTCTCAGCAATCAATGATCTAAGACAATTCCAAAAGCCTCATGATGGAAAATACTACCCATATCTAGAGAAAGAACCATGGAGTCAGCATGCAGATTGAAGCATATTATTTTCACTTTTCTTTTCCTTTCTCTTGGTTTTTCCATTTTGTTCTGATTCTTTTTTTACAATATGACTAATGTGGAAATATGTTTAACGTGATTGTACATGTATAACCTATATCATGTTGCTTGCCATCTTGGTGAGGGAGGGGGAGAGACAGGGAGGGAGAAAAAAAGTTTGGAACTCAGAATCTTATAAAAGTGAATGTTAGGGGCAGCTCTGTGGTGCAGTGGATAGAGCATCGGCCCTGAAGTCAGGAGGACCTGAGTTCAAATCCAGCCTCAGATCAAACACTTGACACTTACTAGCTGTGTGACCCTGGGCAAGTCACTTAACCCCAATTGCCTAAAAAAAAAAAAAGGTGAATGCTGAAAACTTTCTTTACATGTAATTAGAAAAAAATTTAAATACTATAAAAAAGGAAAAATAAACATTTCACATACTACCTTTTCACCAGGACCTGTAACAAGCATGGACAATTGTTTATAAATTCTAAGTCCCAAAGAGCCAATTCACATTTCATATGAGTGTAATTTTAGTAAATGTGAAAAATGTCTGGCTTCCTTTTCTCTATCATGATGTGACCAAAGTTAAGACCATCGATAACACAAATTTATTTACTCTATCACAATTCATTATAAGTTTAATTCAGTAGAGATTTGCATATTTACTAGCACTGAAGAACTATCCTTATACATTCAGCATTTTCCAAAAGACGACTTTTAGAAATCCCCACAAGGGATTTGATAAAAAAACACTTCAATTCCCTCAAATAGACAAATACAGCATGTCTCCTAAACACAATGATTAAATATTCTAGCAGTTTTATTTCAGGACAAATAATTGTAATTTATTAGCTTTAAAGACATTTAAAAAAACAATACAAATAATAAAAAACAAAAAAGTTAAAGACAAAACATTGCATCCTTTTGACTGCAAAAAGTCTGTAAAAACAGTAAAAGATAGGATATTTCCCAAATTTGTGCCCCCAAAGGAACTTTGTAAAATACTTGTACTTGCTTCATACCAAGGCCATTATAATGTCTTAAAAAACCACCAGAACCCATCAACTGGTTTACTGGAGTTTTATGTACTGTTAAATGTAAGCACAACCTCAGTTCCACAAATGTCAAAATGCAAGTTTTTAATACAACTCCATTCCTAAAAACCTGCTTTCCTAGAAGCCAATGCCTGTGTAACTTCACCATCATGTCCAGGGTAGGTGAGTCTTTCATCTAAAAGGTATCCTAGCAACTAACCTCTTTGGGGTGACAAGAAGAAAACAACACAATTTATCTTAGATTTTTAAAATGACCTCCTCTTCATGGCCTATTGTGATAAGATTCTACTCATAAAGTACAAAAATACTGGGTGTCAGCTGTTTCTATCATACCCTTCTGTGACCCATTTTTAACCTGTTAACTAATGCCCATCCTGAAACTTGAGACAGTTCTAGAACTCCTCATAAGCTATTTCTCTGTGCCCTCCCCAACCCCACAACTTCATACCTTCCTTTCCAGCCATGCCATCATGGACTTCAGCCATTTACAATGTATTTATGTCATTTATACTTCCAATTGACAATGTTTTTGGATCTCTGGAATTTTTTGAAAAGAACTCTTTTACTTGAAACCTTTTTAAATTAAAAAGTAAAATTCACATTATTTTTGGTTCAGCTACAGGGATAAGAGCCATCCAATAATTGGAGAGGGGCTAAGTTGAACAGTAGTGAATACAGCAAGCAATCAAACAGCAGTGAGATGACCATCTGTGAGGGATGTCCCAAAGGGGAAGCTGGACTAGATGATCAAGAGCCCTCTCCACCCACAGGAGTACGTATGACTCTACATTTCCATCATTGCTGGGAATAGGGACTAGAACTGGACCTGTGATTTCACTGGTGTTGGGAAATCCCTATACCAGCATTCTTAGAGAGTTGCCTGGGCCCCTCAGAAGTTAAATTAATTGCAGGGTCACAAAGCCAGCATATGTCTAAGATTTGGTCCCAGGCTTTGAGGGGGCCTCTCTATCCATGCCATGACATGACCATTTGGGGGAAATTAATTTCTTTTCGTTTCAGACTTATTTTTAGCAGTGTCCATGCTGGTATCCAAATCACCATGAGGGATATCCTACAGTTTAAAAATGTTTCCTAGAAAAGCTTGATGGTAGAAAAGGCGAGATGCAAAAACAAGGGCATGATAAAATAGATGCGTGTATACATATATAATAAAGAACATATATTATACATATATTTGCAAAATAAAACAAATTTGTATTTATTACGTTATTAAAGAATAAAGAAAGGAAAATATGAAAAAGGAAAAGAATTGCAGAGCTTTTATTTTTTGTATTATCAGAGTTCAGCTATTCTGTTTTCAAGTCCAGTCAGATACTTTATGGGAGATTGTAAAAATTACTATTAAAATCACATATCTATAGTTATGCAATCAAAAACAAATACGCATGAGAACATTTTCTACCCAAACAAAATATCATGTTTTCATCTCTAAGTCCTTATTTACATTTAATATAAGAAAGGGATATGATCTGGGAAACTTCAAGAATAATAAAGACCTGTTTTCAGATAAAATACAGAACTTTAAAAAAAATACATCAAAATAATTTGCCAAGAATTTTCTCCAACAAAAAACTTCCTGACACAATTTATTCCAGTCCTGAGAGTTGTTCAATTTGCCACTTGTGAAAATCACATACCATTCTGAAACCAGTTTTATATTTTACAATAGAAAAACCACAGGAAAATATCACTAAAATCATCAGTTTTTAGCAGTTCTTTAGCTTTTTAAAAACAAAACCAAACCATCACCTGGACATTGCACAATTGGCAAAAAACACCATTGAGTAAGTGATGATAAACAGGGGGGCAGACACCCCCAACTCTTCAGTTGCAGGTTAAAGAATTTACAGATTATTAGCTCCTGACTGATTTAAGGCACTCAGTCCATTAAACTGCCACATGATGGTAGCTGCAGGGAGCCTAGAGGACATAGTTCATACACGCCAATTTTCCTTTGACCACAGGAAGTCTGCTCTTTGCGCATCAGTGCACCCAGTCTTTGGGATGGTGTAGGACTTCTAGGATCTCAGCTTCTTTGGAATTCTTTGAAGGTGCATGCATGTATTCCCATCTGTGTAAGGCAAGAACAGAAGATTTGAAACCCCCTCTAAAATCAGGGCAAAATAAAATTCCAACAGAATGAAAAAAATGACCTCAAGATTCATAATTCAGTTCTTCAAATAACTCATGATCTTACCGGTTCCACCAATGCACAACCACTAGCCTTAGCAGTTGTTTTGATGAGTTAGTGTAGCCAAAATAATTCCTCCTCTGATAGTCAACCTTCTGGTGATAAGTCTGCCTGTAATTAACTAAGCTGGTCCTCTGATGATAGACCCACTTTGTACTCAAAGCTTTTGTAGCTTTGTAGGACCTGCCTAAGCTTAACCTTCACCTCCATATGATGATGATGCTTCAAAGTAGAACTTGTGCTCTGAAATGAGGCTTGTGCCTCATTTTATCTCCAGCCCCCTAGCACAATGCTAGTCAAGTAAGAGGTACACAATAAATGTGTGATGATGAATTAGTATTACTTAATGATACCATGTACGCCTGGGTCTATTATTTGGTCCCTGGATTATTAATGCATTCATCTACTGATTATATCAGAGCAAAGACATAAATACCATAGGCTAAGAGTGGACTAACAGTGGCCTTCTTGTTAATCATTAATTCTCTACATATTCCTTATCAAATCTGTCCAAATCTTTATAAAAAATTTCATAAACTTGGAAAATTTCACAGCTAATTGAACATATTTAGGGCTAGAAGAGATCAAGCAGAGAGCAAAAAGAACTGAATTTTAAGAACTCTGCTTATCCAGTCAGGTGTGGTGTTGTATACTTGTAATCTCTGCCACTGAGGCTGAACTCAGGAACAGAGCTTGTAGTTGATAAACAATAATATTAATGTTAATAATGATGGCTAATGTTTATACAGTGCTTATGTGCCACACATTGTGCTAAGCACTTTACAACTATTATATTATTTGATCCTCACAACAATTCTGGGAGGTAGGTGCTATTATAATCTCCTTTTTATGGAAGAGGAAACTAAGGCAAGTGAGGTTAAGTGACTTGCTTGGGGTCATGCAGCTAGTAAGTGTGTCTGAGGTCAGATTTCAATTCAGGTCTTCCTGACTCCAGGCCCCTACATTACCCAGACTAAGTCGACTGGGTTCTGTACTAAGCCTAGCATCAATATGGTGATCTCTGGGGGTTGGGGTAAGGTAGGGTTCCCTAAGGAAGAGTGAACAGGCCAAGGTCAAAGCTCCTATGCTTAGGGGATCTGATGTGTCAGTAACTCATAGAGATAAGGAGTCCCAGTCTTTAAGAACAAACAAAAAACAGAAAAAACACTGCCTCTCCTTTTTGTTACTAATAGGAGTGACATCATAAAAATGCAATTGAAAACTGAATTGGCTACAGCAGGGCATTATCACACAAGCCAACAAAACAATTATTAGGTAGTTGAAGCTATCTTTCATTCAACTTTCAAAAAAACACAGAAACAGACTACTAGGGAGTGAACACCTGGCAAAGCCAAAAATCAAGAAAGTCACTGTAGATTCAATGATATTGTCTACTTCACCTGGAGCTGCTCACTTCCAAATAGTCAAGGACAGTCAAGGTAACTGGGTCCCTCTCCTCACAATAGTAAATGGCTGCTCAATTCAAGAAACATTTCATAATTGTTGGTTTGGAGTCAGGCCCCATGCTAGATGCTGAGGTTTACTAGGAAAAAAACCTAAACAATGGCCTTCCCCTCAAAAGAGCTGACGTTCTTATATTGGAGAGGTGACACATACACAGAAAATAAAGTTCCAAATGTAAATTGGACTATGTAAAGTACTTCCTAAGGCTAGGGGCAGGAGAAGTTTACAATGCTGGTTCTTTACACTTTTCATAGCCTTTGAAGAGTTGGAAATTTTGTAAGAGAAAGTTGAGGGTAGGTGCTATCCAGGCAAGGGGGGCACCCTGGGTGAAAGCTGGAATTCCATGGAAAGCAGGCCAATTTGGCTCTAACCAGACAAAAACCAAACTTGCCCCTCTCTCCTCCTTCATTATTTCACTTCTTTGCTTGATTCTCATCTTTCTACATATTCTTGGGGCCAAATATACTCATTCTACAGCATCCGTGGGGCCAAGTATGCTCAAATAGGGAAATATGAGGCTTTAATTTTAGTTCACTTAAGGAAAAGGGATAACTGGGGGATAACAGCTATGTCAAATTATCTCTTTACCTGGCAGTCAGGGGCAAAGACATAAGAATGCTTTCAATCCTAGATCCTGGAGTGAAGAGTCCAAATTTTGTGCCTCTATCATACAGCAGGTTAAATTCCACATACCTGTCACAACAGAGAAATGTAGGGGGAAAAAGTTAGCTGAAGAAACTCTTCTCTAAGGTTAGGTCATGGTGAGGAAATGGTTAACAACAGAACAGTTTGGTCCTTCTTGGACAACTGGCAGCCACAGAGAGATCACCAGCTGGAGGTCCCGATGAGTTTTTAGCATCTGGACAGGAATGGATAAATAGGGTATTCTACCCACTGAACAAAAGGAGATAGATGCTGTTATGACACACAGCAGTTGTAAGACAAGAAGGTTATGTTTTCCAATAGATACACTGAATAGACTGACTTCACAGCTGTAAAAAAGGAATGACTGTTCAATCTGAGAACAGTGCTGCTCTCTCCCCTCCAGATCCCAACCCCCTATTGTGATTCTTCAAGGCAAGCTCTTCTCACAGATCATAATTCCAGGCGCCATGTTAAATGCTTTATGAATATTATCTCATTTGATTCTCACAACAACCTTGGAAGGTAGGTGCTTTTAAGATCCCCATTTTACAGTTGAGGAAACTGAGGCAAACAGAGGTTAAGAGACTTGCTCAGAGTCACACAACTAGGAAGCACATGAGTCTGAATTAGAACTCAAATCTTCCTGACCCCAGGCCCAGTGTTCTATCTACTGTACCACCAAGCTGTCTCATCTAGAGGGGCTGGTCTTGGCATGGGGAAGTGAAGGAGGAGACAGGGAGGGATGATGTCAGAAGGCGCTCTCAGCGAATGTCCTCCATGCTCTGTGGGAAGCTTGAGATGTTGTCCTCAGCTGGTATGACCTAGCTGGTCTCTAAAGGTTCTTCTGACTCTAAAATTCTATCATTCCTAACAAAATTTGTCCACTGTCATTGTTCAGTTGTTTCATTTGTGTCCAACTCTCCATGACTCCATTTGGGGTTTTCTTGGAACTTCTTTCTTGGATTTTCAAAATCCACTAGGCAGGCAAAAAAAAAAAAAATCCAACAACCCATAAAACATTTAATTTGATCTAATCACATCACAAAGGTAAGCCCATTACGAAAAATGGAATTCTTCATTCACAAGTTTTTTATATTATGACTGAAAATAACATAAAATAAATTTATGAGGACCAGCTGGGAGAAAGATCTGAGTTCTGGTCCTGCCTTTGATACATAATAGCCGTGTGACCATAGGTAAGTCACTTAACCATCAACCACTCAGTGTCCCAGGCACTCTAAACTGTAAGTCTTACAACTTCTAAGCCTATTAAGTTACAGACAAGTTGTCAATCTGTAGTGATGAAGGCAGTTTCCACACTGAAAGTTCTATACAGTGATGAGATAACACACAGGTCAAAACATATACATATATTTGCAAGTATCTAGAACATAGCTAGGTAGTGCGATGGATAGAGGTTCAAATCTGGCCTCAGACACTTGATAACTGTGGGACCATACTCAAGTCATTTAATCCTGTTTGCCTCAGTTTCCTCATCTGTAAAATGAGGTGGAAAAGTCAACAGCAAACCACTCCAGTATCTTTACCAAGAAAACCCCAAATGGGGTCATGAGAGTCAGACTTGATTGAAAACAACTGAACAAGAACACACTGAGAATTTCATGTGGGTTGACACTGATATGCATAATGACTTTACAAGCAAAACCTCAATCATTTATCAAATGACAGTAAGAAGCCTCTGACTGAACTGCCTGGTGGTGGTACTCTTATTTTTGGATCATATTTCTATCACAAGTTAAGACCAGAAAAAATGACTATTCATGTCATCATTAGTTGCTTCTGCCTTTCCCTCTATGTAAGTGGGTTATTTTTTTTTCCAGCCTCACCTCCCTCTCCGAAGCTGCTGCCACTGTTTCTCCTGAGGTGTGAATGGATCATTACAGTGTTTTTTCACCAAGGGAATGTAAGAAGGTACAACAGCACGGGCACAGCTTTGGACAAAATGAAATACATCTTCCTTGGATGGGGAGTCAAGATCGTCAAAGAATATACCCCCAATTCCCCTTCTCTCTCCTCGATGCTTTATAACAAAGTAGTCATCACACCTGAAAAGAAAAACAGAGAAGTCAGAAGGAATCAAATACATTCCAAAGAGGAAAGCAGTAAAATGAATATGCAAGTTTCAGTGTTAAAAACTGACCTCAGCCAAATCTATCCCCTTTGCTCAGAATGAAGACAGAATAAGAGATCTTTGCCAACATACAAACACACAATCCACCATCTCATACACAGAACATTTTTCCGGCATGATAGATACTTTAGTTATTTTGTCTAGGAAGTAACCATGAAAATCAGCACAGTCCATGACATATTGTAAATTATGCTTTGAGAAAAGTCTCCTAATACCAATGTAAATAGTATGTTGTTGTTGAGTAGGTTTTTAGTTGTGTTCAACTCTTTGTGACCAATTTGGGGATTTCTTGGCAAAGACAATGGAGTGGTTTGCCATTTACTTCTCCAGCTCATTTTACAGATGAGGAAACTGAGGCAGAGTTAAGTGACTTGCTTAAGGTCACACAGATAGTAGGTGTCTGAGGATGGATTTGAACTCATGAAGAGAAGTCTTCCTGATTCCAAACCCAATGCTCTATCCTCTGTGCCTCCAGGTCTGACACTCTATCTACTGTGACATCTAGCTACCCTATGTAAATAGTAACACCACCATTAATGCTGGTTCCTTAAGTCACTGATTTCCATGCCATTATTAACTGTGAAAAAGGACTAGGGACACAGTGGAATTTTAATATAATAATAATGATGATGATAACTAAGAATAATAACTAACACATAGTACTTACTACATGTGCTTTTACAACCCTGGGCAAATCACTTAATCCTGTTTGCCTCAGTTTCCTCATCCGTAAAATGAACTAGAGAAGGAAATGGCAAGCCACTCCAGTATCTTTGCCAAGAAAACCCCAAATGGGTTAATGAATAGTCATAACTGAAAATGACTGAACAACAACAACAAAATCTCATCCTTAAAACAATCCTAGGAGGTAAGCGTTATTATTATCTCCATTGTACAGGTGAGGAAACTGAGGCAAAAGACTTGACTAGGGTCACCCAATGCCTGAGCCTGAATCTGAACTCAAGTCTTTGTGACTCTAGCTCCACAACTCTATCTATTGCACCAGTTAGCTGCCCTGAATAAATAAGCATTTCAGTAGGTGAAAAACTCTTAACACTTATTTATAAACAATCTGTTAAATAATCTATATTCTCCAGAACCTTTTTCCTCTATATATGTCTATTTTAGAGTCAGAGGTTCTTAAGAAGAAACTATATTCTTTAAATTTTTTTTTCCCCACAATTACATGTTAAAACAATTTTTTTCATATTTGGGTTTTTTTTAAGTTTTGAATTCCAAATTCTATCCTTCCCTTCCTCCCTACCCCCCTTCTTAAGATGGTAAAGAATAAGATATAGGTTACACATATGCAATTATATAAAACATTTCCATATTAGTCATTTTGTACAAGAACACTTGAATAAAAGAAAAAAGAATGAAAGTAAGTGAAAAATAGCATGCTTCAGTCTGTGTTAAGTCAATATTAATTCTTTCTCTGGAGAAAGGTAGTATCCTTCATCATCAGTCCTTTGAGATTGTCTTGGATCATTGTATTGCTTAGAATAGCTAAGTCATTCACAGTTCTTCATTGAATAATATTGCTCTTACTGTGTACAACATTCTCTTGGTTCTCTTCACTTCACTCTATCAGTTCATGTAAGTCTTTCCAGGTTTTTCCGAAATCATTCTGCTAGTCATTTCTTATAGCACAATAATATTACAATCATATACCACAGTTTGTTTAGCCATTCCCCAATTGATGGCTATTCCTTTAATTTCTAATTCTTAACCACCACAAAAAGAGTTGCTATACTTCTCCCCACTACCCCACTCCCCCACCACTTTGGCTGCAGCCTTCGCCATGTGGCTTTGCTGTTGCCGCTGCCACCCCTGGGAGCAAATTCTCCCTCTCCCTCCCCATCCCCAGGCCAGTAGCTGATATAAAGATGAATAGCTCAGAGAAGGTATCATAGATCTCATGGTCCGTGGGCTTCTTGGCAATGATTTCTTCTATGAGATGGATGAAGGCTGTATCCAAGACAAGTTCAACCTCACACAATGATTGTTTTGATAATTATCACTTTATTAAATACAGTTTGAGATCTGATATGGCTAGACTGCTTTCCTTCACATTTTTTTCCCATTGATTCCCTTAATATCCTTGACCTTTTGTTCTTCCAGATGAATTTTATTATTTTTTCTAGCTCTATAAAATTATTTTTTTGATAGTTTGATTGGTATGGCACTGAATAGATAATTTAGGTAGAACTGTCATTTTTATCATATTGGCTCGGCCTACTCATGAGCAATTAATATTTTTCCAGTTGTTTAGATCTGATTTTATTTGTGTGAAAAGTGTTTTATAGTTGTGTTCACATAGTTCTGGGTTTGTCTTGGCAGCTAGACTCCCAAGTATTTTATATTGTTTATAGTTATTTTAAGTGGAATTTCTCTCTCTTGCTGCTGGGCTTTGTTGGTCAAATAAAGAAATGCTGATGATTTATGTGGGTTTATCTTATATCCTGCAACTTTGCTAAAGTTGTTAATAATTTCAAGGAGTTTTTTAGTTGATTCTCTTGGATCCTCTAAGTACAATATATCATCTGCAAATGACAGTTTTGAGAAAATATTCTTTTTAAAGTTTTATGACGTACTTTATATATTATTATTCTTTATACACACACACACACACACACACACACATATAATGGCCTCTTAGTAGAAAAGCCGCAAAAACTCCCAGCAAGGAAATTTAAAAAGAAATCTCTAAAGTTTAACTTAGCCAATCACTCAGGAGAGCAATTTGGAACTATGCCCAAAGGGTTATAAAACTATGCATATCCTTTGATCCAACAATACCACTACTAAGTCTTTATCCCAAAGACATCCCAAAAAAAGGGAAAAGCACCTATTTGTACAAAAATACTTACAGTAGCGTTTTTATGGTGGCTAAGAATTGGAAATTAAAGGGATGCCCATCAGTTGGAGAATGGCTAAACAAGCTGTGGTATATGATTGTAATGGAATATTATCATGCTGTAAGAAATGACAAGCAGGATGATTTCAGAAAAACCTGGAAAGACAGAACCAAGACACTACTGTACACAGTAATAGCAATGCTGTTCAATGAAGAACTGTGAATGACTTAGCAGTTCTCAGCAATACAATGATCAACAAAAATTCCAAAGCACTAATGATAAAGCATACTACTATCCATCTCCAGAGAAAGAACTGCTATTGACTGAATATAGACTGAAGCATACTATTTTTTACTTTCTTTCTTTTTTTTCTTTTATTTGAGTCTTCTTGTACAAAATGACCAATATGGAAATGTTTTACATGTATAACCTATATCTGATTCCATCTCAGGGAGGGAGGAAAAGAGGGAGGGATAGAATTTGGAATTCAAAACTTTAAATAAAAGAGTTAAAAAATTGGGAAAAAAAGTTTAACTCAGAAAATGAAATGAATAGAAATAGGAATTCACAATAAATACAAAATGATAATTGTTCATGATCATTTTCACTTATACTACATTATATTTTCTCTCTTTTACTTGCATATATTGAGTTATGGTAAAGAAAGAACATCTTAAGCCAGATTACAAAGAAACTTTAAGACTTAGTTATGTGATTTCAAAGTCTCTCCAAAAAAAGTGTTTGAAAAAGACAAAAAGATGTTAAAACCAACTATTTTAATATTAATTACAAATTTTTCCTTCTACATGGTAATCTTCCTTGTTTACCTCTTACAGATAAAAGTTCCTTCACTAACAGTTGCCTATTCTAGTTAATGGAATTTTTTTAAACGCCCTAGAAGCTCTCTTCCTAGAAGATATAATGGCCAGTTTGTAGAAGATAAGAAACAGATTAACATACACATGTATATCTTACTTAGGGGGAACCACTATTTTCAGTATTAAAGGATGAAAAATTTCACAATCTTTCTTTTCTGAGGTGAGACTTCATGTCCTCACACAATCAACACACCATTCTCGGTATCAAAAGCAAAGCAAAAAACAACAAAAAACCCACCCCTTTCTGTTCTCATCACTGAAGAGCACTAATCTGTTCCAACTTCATTGTAGTTTCCAAATATCCTCTGGCAAATACCCCATTTGACATCCAACTACATTTCAGAGGCTTCTTCATAATTTTAATAGTGTTTCCTTCCCTTTCCACTCTATAGCTAATATTCCTAACTTTCAAACCATCTCCAGGTTCCAAATCTTCTGTCTCATTGTGATCTCACTTCCTCTATTACTGTTAAATTCTATTTTTTTCCCCTTTCTTTAGTCAAAAAGAACGTTTAGAAAAAGCATTTAAAAGTTTGGAAGAAAATGGATTTAGACCTGCATCACACACCATATGCCACAATAAATTCCAATTACAGGTCCAAACACACTCTCACAGTCATAAATAACAAAAAAAAATGAAGAATTCAAAGAAACATTAAAAGACTTATGTGAAGGAATGTAGAATGAAGGAGAATAAAAAGTTTATATCTACATATATTATTATAACAATAATAGCTAGCATTTATGTAGCACTTTAAGGCTTGCAAAGCACTTTATAAATATTATCTCATTTTACTCTCAAAGCAAACATGAGAGGTAGTAGGTAAGTGCTATTATTATCCCCATTTTACAAATGAGGAAACTAAGTCTAATGGAGGTTAAGTGATTTGCCCAAGATCAAACAAAGTTAGAAAGGGTATAAGGTGGGATTTGAACTCTTTTGCTGATTCCAAGTTCAACACTCTAGCTACTGTACTACCTAGCTGCCTCCTGATATAATCACTGTAACTATGCAAATGAAGCTATAATAAAATTTAGATCAAATAGAATAGGCAAAATTGGTACTAACTTGTTAAAGTCCATAAATCTGTTATTTTTTAAAAAAAACTATAGAAGTATATGGTGTGAGTACTATTAATTGCAATCACTCACACTGTTTTACATACATTAACAGTTTTCAGAGAATATTGTGTGGAGGTTGTGAACTTATTTGTGTTTATCTGTTATATCTCAAACAACAAAACTTACCAATTAAAAAAAAATCTCTATTCCCACGAGATTAAAATCTTATTCTAAATTACTTGCAACAGAAAAGAGATTTCTCTAATATTAAATCGATTCTTTAGTGAATTACTTACTAAAATGAATGGTTTTAAATCCCCACTGTTATAACATTTAGAAGTAAGAAAAAGTGTCAGTCTACCTGAAGCTGAAGAGATGCCCTGAAAGCATGGGAGGTATTATGACCCCAAAGAGGTTCTCAATGTTTCCACCTACCATTTTTTAAACTTAGGGTAGAGGCTTGGATCATGCTGGTCACAAGCATCCTTTAAGGTTTTATGGAAGTGTACAGCATCCTCTTGGTTTAAATAAGTTGGAGTAAGATCACATCCACCACCAAACCACCATTGCTTGTTACCTACCAAATAAAAGACACAATCTATCATAAAAAGCACACTACCAAGTTAGCCATGAAATACATAATCAATCAACAAGAATTTTATTAAGCACTTACTATGTTCCAGGCACTAGGTGGTGGGGATTTAAATACAAAAGTAAAATATGTAGTCCCTGATCTCAAGGAGCTTATATTACAATGCATGATAATTGTAAAAAAATAGATGGAACCAGCAATATTTCACATAGAAAAGACTTGAAAACTCTAAGGTCAACTCTGAAGGTGAGTAATGCCAATGGCAGTTTGCAAGTGTAGGTATCAGAAAAGGAAAATAAAAAAAAAAAAGGAAGATGATGACAAAGGGAGAGTAAAATGAAAAAAAAAACAAAAGAAAGGCATGAGAATGGTTAATGTGGGAAATATGGAGGTGGGAATTTTAACAGTATAATTCAAATAATTCTTAAGCCAAGAATGTATGGTATATCTCAAAACCAGAACATAAACAAATCATCAAGGAACCCAACACCTTTAATTTGTGCAGACACACACCATTCTACTAAAAATTTTGAGAAAAGATTGAAATATCATTAGTAATAGATAGTATAAGACCCAAAGGCAACTACTTAATGTGATTCATAATCTGTTCCAGTTATCAACCTGAAAAAGGTTGAACAAATCCAAATGTTATTAACCTGTGGTATGACAAATTTACCCTGTGCTATAAATGACATACAGATAGCACTTGGGAAGGGAGACACTACACTAGATATCACAGAAGGCAGACCATCAGATGATTAATTCTCTAGACCACAGAAACTCAAATGTCTGCTGAGGCATAAGAGGACCCAAATACGCATTGATAAGAAAAGCACCCACATTGCAGAACTCACAGATCTCTGAAATAATAAAATAGGTAAAAAGAGGTAACTAATCAGCCATATGTTCCATCTTCTCAGAAAAAGTTCTTGATTTCACATTAGCAGAGTATAAAAACATTTCCTTCAAATACTCATATAACTTTTATTGTTTCAAAATGGAATGTATTATCTTTTCTGTGGACTTGTCAAAACATCCATTCCATCTAGGAAAATCTCACTCTCTTTGTCTTTCTGCTTCACTCAAATCATAAGGAAATCAAGCCATCATTCCTCATGATGTCATTGGTCCTCTCTGAAAAGACGAACAAAAACAATCTAGGAAAGCCAGAGAGATTAAATAGCTAGTTTCATGGTTCAATCAAGTATCTCAAAGTCTCTCCTCTCTCTCTCAGTTTTCATCCTTAGGACACTATCCACATCTGCCAAGGAACAGTTTCATAAGAAATATGAAAAATCTAAATCACTTTGGGTATTATTTCTTCTTGTTCCCAAATGACATGAACTCTTTATGTTTACAAGTATGCCTTTTACAGTATAAAGGTTTCCAAAGACCCCAGGGAGTCTTACCATCGGCGTCTTCTATTTCAAAATATCTATAGTTGAAATGAAAGGTGGGCGCATGAGGATTCTTGGGGTGGATGACAGAGCTCACTCCCATAGCAGAAAAGGCCAACTGACCTACAGAGTAATAATAAAGGGCATTCAATAAAAATAAAACCACTATCTAAAACAACGAAATTAACTATTTTTTGAGTAAAATTTCCAACTGGTTTTTGAATTTGCACTTTAAAACTTAATTTGCTGGTTATTATGATTATTTAACCTTAGTAGTTAGCATTTATACACAGAACTTTTAAGTCTGCACAGCACTTTACAAATATTATCTCATTTGATCCTCACAAAAACCTCAGAAAGTAAGTGCTTTTATTATCCCCATTTCATTGACAAGGAAATGGATTAAGTCAGTTGCCCAGGCAAGTAAATGTCTGAGCTAATAAATTCTGAAACTGGATTGATTTGAACTTATTACTTTCTGACTCCAAGTCCAATTTTCCATCCACTGAACCACCTACCCGCCTTATTTTATACATATTTCAATACTGATAAAGTGATAGTAAATGTGCCAATCATTATCAGTAATGCAATAAGTATTATCCTCCTTTCAGAGATGAGGAAAAGGAGGCCTTATAGAAGTCAAGAGACTGGTTTGAGGTCACATAACCAGCAAGCTGGGATATGAAACCATGCCTCCAAGTCCAACATCTTTTCCAGATAATGCATGGTACCACATCACTGGGCAGCTAGGTGGCACAGTGAATAGAGGGCCCAGCCTGAAGTCAGGAAGACTATCTTTATGAGTTCAAATCTGGTCTCAGACACTTACTAGCTATATGACCCTGGACAAGTCACTTAATCCTGTTTGCCTCAGTTTCCTCATCTGTAAAATGAGCTAGAGAAGGAAATGGCAAAACCACTCCAGTATCTTTGCTAAGAAAACCCCAAATGGAGTCATGAAGAGTTGGACATGACTAAACAACAAAAACCAGATTACTATTATGCTCATCAAATGCATGTGTCCAAATGGCCATTTCCAACAACTATAAAGCTTCGTTTTATAAATAAAATATGTAAGAAAAATTGACAGGTACAATCAAATACATTTTAAAATTATTTGACTTACCATTTTTGGTCTTGAGGACCTTTCCTCTGCTTCTCATTTGTTTTGTTGCTTCCTCAGAAAGAGTCCCATGAACTACAGAAACACTGACTCCAGCTTTTTCAAAGACATGACCATCTTGTAGCACACAGCTGATACCACCTCCTCCTGAAAGAAAACAAAGAAACGAAAACCACACATATAAAAACGCAGGAAAAAAGTTTAAACCTAAAACACAAGAATTAAAAATACTTTTCATCCACCTAAGCTATTCAGATTTATAATGTTAATTGAAAACAATGGAAAAGTTACAGGCCCCTTCCACATATACAAACTATGACAGGGGTAACAGTAAGTGCATTATTTTATAGGTTTAGTTAGTTTTTGTAGTTTTGCAGTTAGTAATTGTAGGTTTGGTTAGTTTAGGTTTTCTGAACCTCAATTTTTTCACCTGTAAAAAAGGAGATATTTGCATCATTTATTTTACAAGACAGTTATGACACTCAAATGAGGTAACAGTATATGTAAAGTGCTACATAAATGTAAGTTATCATTATTATCATTATTATTTCTACATTCTTATACTGTCATCACATGCTATTAATACTAGATTACCATTAGCCTACTATTGAAACAATATAGAATTAACAGCCTGCTATTAGCTAGTAGCCTACTACTGAAACAATGTAAGCTACTACCAGAATAATTTGTCAGAAAAGAAAAACAGGAGCAAAAAGATTTTTGAAAATCAAACTTTTGACAATCTATCAAGCTATTTCATTTATGAGAACTGTTAAGGACCTCAAAACCCTATTTTTTTTAAAGTCACTCATATTTGTGTACACACGTCAAAAAGTTTTAGTTCAAGTCACCAACACCACTTTAGAAACCACAGTAAATTCACGAAACTCCTTTGATTTGTCTGCCTTGTTTATTCACTCAAAAATGTGCTACGGGTGAAAATTATAATACCTAATTGCATTTCATTAAACAAGCAGTCTGAGAAACAAACAGATCTAAAATGATACACAGGCATTCAGAACGACCATTCCTCACAGAGATAAAAGTGCAACCTCTAAGATGTTAAGGTCTCACTATGAGGGTCAGAAGAATATGACAATAGCAAGGATTTGTAGCAATGCCAGTAGGGGCATCTTCACAGCAGAAAAATTAAGGTGGATATTTGCAAACCGCTCTCAAGGTTGTTTAAAAAAAAAAAAAAAACCTCTTGTTTTAATAAAAGGAGAAGAAAAAGGTGGGAGGAGCAGAGTTCAGTCGCACCTCCGGAAGAGCTCTGACACCCCGCACGTAGGAACTCGCTTGCTGCCTCCACCCACAAAACAGGGGCCAATATTTTGCTGACTCATGCAAAATGCACCCTTGGTTCTGTCAGTCAGTCAGTAAATAAGCATTAAGTGCCTATTACGTGCCAGGCACTGTGAGCCACTGATATTTGTGAACCTTGGATGAATTCGTAGGGAATCAGAAGTCATTATAACTTCTGACAAGGGCTTTTCACGCGGTCTCCCTTCCGTCCATCTTAGCCCCAGTCCCTGTCCCCAAGTGCTCACCTTCCTTCCTCTCCCAGCGATCCACGGAGAAGCTGGCGCCCCCGTCCAGCTGCGCCAGCGCTCGGCACACCTGCGCCTGGGTCTCCATGATCAGCAGCTCCATCTGGGTCTTCATGTCCCCCGTCCGGGCCCGCAGCTCGGACAGGGCAGTCACGGGCTGGGCCATGAAGGAGCTGCAGCGCAGGGCCAGCTCGTCCGCTCTGCCCAGAACGCCGGAGGCGCCCTCCGTTCTGGGCACCATCTCGGCCCGCGCCAGGTGCTGGAGAGAGGCTGCGGCCACCCCCGCCAGCCCCGCCGCCAGCCCTGCCACCAGCCAAGGGGCTCTCCTCGCTCCGCCCCCGCCGCCGACCCCGGCTCCTGCAGTGCCGGGGCCGTAGCCCAGCCCCCGAGTGCGGCCGGAGCCAGCCCCTCCGAGGGGAGTCAGGCAGAAGCGTCCAGCCATGGGGCCTGGGGGCCAGGCGCGCGGCCGCGGGCTGCCGCACCCCAGCGCCATGCTCCAGAAGCGGCTCCCGCCCAGCCTTCCTAGGGACCAGGCCATGTTCCCCCAAAGTGCCGAACCCCGCCAGCCGCCCAGGTGCAGAGGAGCGAGGGAAAGAAAAGAGAAACCTGCATCCAGGGCGGAGGCCACGTGAAGGGGCGGGGCGAGGGGGATGCTGGGATCTGTAGTCCGGCCGCCCCTAGAGCTCTTCTGGCCTCCAGGGACCAACTGATAAGGAATCGGCTCCCCCTCTGCAGGGAGATAAAGACGCGGAGTGCAGGCAGGACAGCGAGGAGGCGGGGGTCCAGAGACTGGCCTTCCAGATAGCCCTCCGCCAAAGGGAGGCCGCTTAATCATCCTCTAGCTGCTGGGGGAGGAAGGTCCGATTGAAAAGCATCGTCGCTTGTTAGGGCTGGACGAGAACTCAGTCTTTGGGTCCAACGCCCTCATTTTATGGATGAAAAAACTGAGTCCCGAAGAAAAAAGTGACTTGTATGATGATAATAATAAATCAACAATAGCAACAACAATAATAATAAAAACTGAATCTGGAAAAATGACTTGAATAATGATGATGATGATAATGAGTCCCGAAAAGAAAAGTGACTTGTAGAAGAAAAAGAATTAGCATTTAATATAGCCTTTTAAGATTTGCGAAGTACTGTAAATATATCATCTTATTTGATCCTCACAGCAAAGGTAGGTAAATAACATTATACTACAACTTTAACAAAAAGACATAAATAGTAATATACATAATGCACATAGAAAGCCAGACCACATTCTCACAGCAATGTACTCAATAAAAAGTGGCTACACACTTATAGGAACCTTTCAGGCAAACTCATGAGAGGAAAACTCATTTGCTTCAGTAAGTCACAACTCTGGGCTTCAGGCTTCAAGGTTATTGGTCCATTCAGGAATATCAATAACACACTAAGCACATTCTTCAGTTAGGGAAATTTCTTCTCTACTTGGACATAACATTTACAAACTCTGTCTTTTTTTTTTTTTTTTTGGTGAGGCAATTGGGATTAAGTGACTTGCCCAGGGTCACACAGCTAGTGAGTGTTATGTGTCTGAGGCTGGATTTGAACTCAGGTTCTCCTGACTCTAGAGCCGGTGCTCTATCCACTGTGCCACCTAGCTGCCCCCTACAAAATCATCACCCTTAAAAAAAAGCATGCAGAAGGTGTTAGCCCTTAATGTGAATGGAAGTTCTCTTTTAGATAGTAGAGTTCAAAGCTCATCACACTGAGTATCTCTGAGTTATACAAACCACTCCAGTCATTTATTTCAGAAGTACATGGTCCAATTATTATTATTATTATTATTTTTAGTGAGGCAATTGGGGCTAAGTGACTTGCCCAGGGTCACACAGCTAGTAAGTGTCATGTATCTGAGGTTGGATTTGAACTCAGGTCCTCCTGACTCCAAGGCCAGAGCTCTATCTACTGTGCCACCTAGCTGCCCCAACATGGTCCAATTATAAAGGAGCTCATGGCAACCCAGTTAAAGTGACCTCCCTAAGTCAGCTACTGGGATTTTAAAACACTGCAAAGTCCCTTCTACTTTTCTTTTGAGCCAGAGTGGGCAGCAGGGACTAACAGAGAAACTTCATCTTTCTTTATCTAAATCTAGGGGACCCTGAAGATTAATAGCTGTCCTTGGAGCTCTTTGCTAGTGAAGTCAATATTCTCTGATAAATCAAGAAGCAGCTGACTGCTTCTAACTTATGTACTTCTGACAGTGCTTGTCTGTTGGATTTACTGCATGTCCCATTTTCTATAATCTAGGCCAGATTGGCAACCCTCCAACTTCTTCCTTTGTCCCTACCTTTGCACCAACAGTCCCACAGGTCCGGAATGTACTGTTTCCTTAATTCTACTTCATAAAGGTGCAGTTCATGTCTTCCTTTAAGATTCAGCTCATGCACCATCTTCTGCATGAATCTTTCAGGATTCTCTCAAATGTTAGTGTTCTGCTTCCCAAATTACCTTGTATTTAACTACTTTACATACATTTGGATTTATGAGCTTAATATGCTGTATATATTTTATATGTGTTTACTGTCTCCTTTAGAATATAACTCATTGTGAATAGGAATTATTAAAAAATTCTTCATATTTGTATTCCCATAGTTGGTGCTTAATACATACTTGTTGATTGTTTGATGCTTGTGCACAGAATATCAAATACAAAGTAATTTGGGAAATCAGGAAACTGAAGGTCAGAGATGCTAAGTGACTTGATCGAGGCCACAGAGGCAGTAAGTGGCAGATGCAAGATTAGAACTCCAAATTTAGCAGTTCCAAGTACAGTGCACTTTCTACTGAACCATAATGAAGAGGAAGAGAGCAGCGCTAACCACTTTGGGGATCAGCAAAGCCTACTCTTATGGGGCTTGGTGAGAGAAGAGTATGTAAATAGTAAAATGCAATATCAAGACCAGTTCCTATTACTTATTTTTCTTGTTTGACAGGTGGAGTGCCAGAGGTAGTGTAAAATAAAACATGGGCCAAGCTAACCATTGGAGGCTAAGGCTTTAATTTGTCTAGGACAACATTTAGCCATTTCTACAGTGGAGGGAACTTAATAAATGCTACGTAAACATGTTCTAAGTAAACCTGTCTGTGTTTTGACAGTTAGAATTTAACTGCATATAACTAACTGGCCGAAGAGATGAGTAAATTATCCTTTGGAGGGTAAAAAAATACTGATATTTAGAGGCAGATTAACTTCCCCAAGGTACTCTATATGTATATAAGACAGCTGCTAGGCCTCCTTCTCTGGGTGGGTGTGACAGAAAATATGGGGAAGTCTGGTTGAGGCCCTTTTAGATGAGATTCAGTAATATCTGCTATGGTCAGATAAGCCCATAGCCCCAAACCGCAGCAATCCCTCTCTCCACCCTTACTCCCTCCTCGTCAACCACCAACCTTACTTCCAGCCTCGTTTTTGCAGCTACAGGCACGAGAACAAGCAAAGTCTGTTGGAGATACCTCTTGGTAACTTCTGTGGTAGCCCTGGCCTACTCAGCAGCCACAGCTACCTGAGACCAGATCAAAGTTCTTGCCCCCACAAATCCTTGGCATTGCCAAGTGGTTCAACATCAGAAACCAATATGGTTTTGTTAATGGAAATGATATTAAAGAAGATACATTGCCATCTGTTTCGTTTCTAGATCTCTGGAACCAGAGGGCCTTTCTGTCTGATTTGCAGCTGAAACCTTCCGTCTGTATTGTCTCCTTCATTAGAGTGTGGCTTCCTTGAGAGCAACGGCTGTCTTGATTTTCTGTCTGTATCCTCATCTTCCCACAGTGCTTTGCACATAATAATCACTTAATAAATGTTCTTCCTCCCTCCTTCCCTCCCTCCCTCCTTTTCTTCCTTCCTATCTTCCTCCCATCCTTTTTTCCTTGTTTTTTTTTCCTTCCTATATTCCTCCCTCCCTTCCTTCATTGAAAGGGAATCTCATGCTAGACTCTAGTTTTTCATTATCTGATCTTAAAAGATCCTATAAAAAGTTAATTTATCTCTAAAATGTGAACATGCAAATTCAGTTCAATTTAACAAACATTAATTGAGGGTCTACTTCATGTAAGAAACTGTAGTATATGCTCAAGATACAAGGACAGTCCCTGCTTTTAAGGATTTTACATTGTACTGTTGAAAAGGGGAAATGTTCTGTGCAACATGTATATAAGTAAATATGATATAATTTGGGGAGGGAAGAGAGCATTAACAACTAGAGAAGGCTTAGGAAAGAAGAAAATGGTTTGCATAGGAGGGTGCTCCTCATCTGAGCCCTAAAGAAATCCAGGGATTCTAAGAGCCAAAGGTGAGTAGGAGGTACATTCCAGAGAGAGACAGGTGATGGAATGGTAAATTCAGAACAGCTGAAAGGCTAGTTAGTTATATACACAGAGTAAAAGGGCCGGTATCCCACTAGGTCCATCACAAGGTGTTCTGAGCATTCATTTATTGTATATTTTTATTGTTTGCCTCTGAAACTCAAGTTTTGTGTTGTGAGTAGTACAAGTCCTTTGGGCTCTAAGGTGATGTTCAGACCTTGCCAGTCTTGATGTCTTCTGACAACAGTGACAAAGTCCTAGCAACCTCTCCCTTGGTTTACAACAGTATGGTATATAGTACAACACCCTCACACTGCCATATGACACAGTGGAAGGTAAGATTCAGGTAAAAAATGTTTTATTTTTAAAAATTTTATTTGTTGTTGTGGTATACGATTTTAATGGGATATTACTGTGCTATAAGAAATGACAAGCAGGATGATTTCAGAAAAACCTCCAAAGACTTATGTGAACTGATGCTGAGTGAAGTGAGCAGAACCAGGAGAACATTGTATACAGTAACAGCAACATTGTTCGATGACCAACTTTGATAGACTTAGCTCTTCTCAGCAACACAATGATCTAAGACAATTCCGAAAGACTCATGATGGAAAATGCTATCCACATGCAGAGAAAGAACTATGGTGTCTGAATACAGATTGAAACATACTATTTTCTCTTTTTTTTCTTTCTTGTGGTTTTTCCTTTGGTTCTGATTCTTCTTTACAACATGAATAATGTGAAAATAGTTTAATATGATTGTACATGTATAGCCTATATCAGATTGCATGCCATCTTGGGGAGGGGGAAGGAGAAGGGAGGGAGGGGGAAAAATTTGAAACTCAAAATCTTATAAAAGTAAATGTTGAAAACTAAAAATAAATTAATTAATTAATTAAAAAAATAAAGACTGGCAAAAAAGAATTTTATTTGTTGTACAATATTTATGATACTGTATATTTCATGTGTTATGAAAAGTGAATATTGTCTGAAGTCAATGTTGTTTTTTTAATCAACATGTTAGCACAAAGAGTCACAGAATTCTAGGGAATTACTAGCGAGAAAAATGTTTTGCTTGTTACCAATTTTATTTTGTGTACTGCATTAAATAATTATTTCATGGTTACTGTTAGGAAAATACACATTATCAGAATTAATGTTTTGTTGTAAAGAATTGTATTCAGAGAAGTGTATTTTCAGCACTCTGTAGAGAAAGTTTACAGTTTTGAATGGTCAAGGGAACCTAACCCTCTATTTCCCACAGATTCAACGGATCAA